TTTAGGTAAATACATATTGTGGGGAAACTCAAAATGATGAAATGTATTTAGCGCGTTACGCAAATGGAAATACAAGACGGCAACCTTTGTAGGACATAAAGTGATTCATGCCATTCCAGAATGTAATTAAATCCTCATAGCCCTCATTCATATACTGATGTCCACATGGCAAAGTAAGGGGAACTTACTCATCAACAGGAACTTCAAACTGCCAAGAGGTCACACTATTCATATTCTATCTAGGGTTCATTCAGTTTTTTTATTTTGTTTTGTTGATTCATCTTTTTTCTATAATTAATCTAAATCTTCATAGTAACTAAAAAAGTATAAAGTAAATGGTGTTCCTCTGGGTTAACTTAAAAAAACAAAGGCCCCTCTTTTTTGCTGCTGTCACCTTATGATCATTGTATTCCGCGCTCGTGAAACAAATGATGGAGGGAGGGACATGTAAAAAATGGGCGGACCAAAAAGAGACATGACGAAGACTAAAGTAGGAGTTTCCAAGCAAACAAAGAAATCAGTGTTCTTCGACCCGCTGACACCGACGCAAACAGCCGGGGGCAGAAGACCAAAGTGCAAAGAAGACAGAGGACTTGCCTGAGAAATAAGGCAAGAGATATAGGCTACAACTGAGGGGAGAGGCGAGAAGAATCCAAAGTTTGACATCTAAGATACAAGGTGTGTGTGGACAGAGAGGTGAGGGACGAGTGTGTGTGCAGAAAGAGATCGGGAGTGAAGCAACACGCTGAGAAGTGATTCCATCCTTTAACTGTAACTCTGTTTGGGAGCCTGCTGATCAATGCCCTCTGGATTCATTGTAGACAATGGGTAAGCATGTCTTGTACTTGTTCCAACCAACCTGTGGAGCAGGTTTTTTATTACCCAGGTATGAGGAATGTTTCTCACATGTTACCCACGTACTTTGGTATAACTACATTTTCTCCTTTTGGCTGAGTTCATGTTTATTATTAGATCGCAAACGCCTCTTAATTATACCATTAATATAATTTAATTTAGTTCAAGCATACATTTACTACTAATACTCGAGAAGAAGAATTGGACTTTTAAACTTAAAACAACTTCTTTACACTCAGTTCACATATCAAAAAGACAGGAATATTCTTCTTCAAAAAGACCTTAACATTTATTGAGATGTCTCTTATAAAACCTATGCATCACCTATTCTGATTTATAATAAATAAACTCCCACATTTAAAAATAAGAATGAATGCAGTTCAAGTTTTTCCTTTTGCTGACTAGTTCCTCTTTGTTCAATTCCTCTTGAACTTTACATGAAACAAATGAACCTTGCATTTCACTGTATTTGAATACAAGCTTTAGAACAAAAAAACATGCGTATTCAAAAGTCTTTCCATGTATCCAATACTTAAAGCTGACACTCAGACTGCAACTCTGCGGTCATTTCTTTGGTTCAATTCGCCATGAACGTTTTCTGCAGTCGCACAAGGTGTATTTTAACTTCACATAGCTCAGTTTAGAGCAAATGATGAAGCCCAAAATAACATGGCACATGCATGTGCAACTGATGGGCATCTCATTGAAGACGTTCCACATCTTCAACAATGAGGTCCGATGTGCTGCGGTGGCAGGAGAGGATCGTGCTCCTCCCCTGATGCCAAGCACCGCCATTGACACTGGCTCAAGCTCTGTGTCAGATGTGCAGGTCCCACATATTCAAAATGCTTGAATCAACAACTCGCTTGTTTTTATTCCAAATGGCCTCTCACACTAGAATTTGCATTTCAGTGCTATCTGTCAACTGTCTTTGTTTGTGTGTGTGGTGTGTGTGTGTGTGTGGTGTGTGTGTGTTGTGTGTGTGGTGTGTGTGTGGTGTGTGTGTTGTGTGTGTTGTGTGTGTGTGTGTGTGTGTGTTGTGTGTGTGTGTGTGTGTGTGTGGTGTGTGTGTGTGTGTGTGTGTGTGTGTTGTGTGTGTGTGTGTTTGTGTGTGTGTGTGTGTGTGTGTGCGTGTGCATGTGTGTGTGCTCCTAAAACGTTTTTCTCCTCACAGTTATATATATATATATATATTATATACGTACCCTCCGTCATTTAAAATTTCACCTTGTCAAGCTCAACAAAATTTCCGCCTTGCATGAGAATTTACCGAAAATAACCTGGTTGAACTAGCTTTTAAAAACTAGCTAACACGTGGCTAACTTGCTACCCATGCCCCTATCCAAAACCTTATGTGACCTGAAGTGTGGAAACTTCTGCAGCAATGGAGAGTCAGGACTCAGATAGACACCAAGGAAGTGTTGGGAGGCTTGATGTCAAACTCTGATGGGTTCTTACGAGTATTGGCCGAGAATTTCAGCAGCAGGCCAGAGGTTCGGACTGCACGGAGAGTTGCCACACAAATCTGCCCGCGCCTCCTCTCTTCGATAGGCGCCTTTTAACTAGTTCAGAGAGAGTAACAACATATTTGGGGAGTAAACTAATACAGCTGGGCACCCTGAATCACTTACGTCTGAACCTTAACCTGTTAGTCCCCCACCTGTTTTCAGGTTCAGGCTCGAAATGACATGCCCAGAAAAAATTACTATAACTCACTTCTAAAAGCGTTAAATTAATAATCCTTTTTTTCTCACAGCAATGTTTACATCATGTAAGTGGATGTAGAAGTGTCAGAATCATATAGATGTTTCTGTGTCGAAAGTAAATTCAGATGGAACAATAAGTAAAAAAGTGTATATTCTTACCTCGCCTAAAGAAAAACCATTATTTATAGTGAAACGACCCTTGAATGATGGGTTAGTAAGAATAGAAAAGCTTTAGGAATCCAAAGTATAACATATAATAAGTACCCTGTATTAAGATGTGAAGGCAAAACAAAGTGGAAAATTGACGCTTTTAGAGAGGTTTAGGGAAAAACTCCAGGCGGACTAAGCTTTGGGCAACATTCTGGCACTTCTGGTCCATCCCGCCTCGCCATTGGTGACCTTTTAAAGGTACCAGATCTGCAAAAATCTTTTTTAATAACATGAATCATCAATATAGGTATTCATACCGTCAACAAAAAAACAAAAACTGATGAAAAGAAAAAGGTGTGTGTGTGTGGGGGGAGGGGGGGGGAGTCCCTCTTTGCGATGAAGATGCATGTTCTTGCCAATACAATTAGGAAACATTTAGATTCCAACTGGAGCAGATTTATTTAATGGCCTCGAAGCAAGCGTTCCCACAACCATAAACCCCATCACGCGAGAAGCTGACCGGCTCATAATTGGGTTTATCAACGATACGCTGAGCCTCCCCTTCCTTAAGAGAGATAACAACTCAGGTTGGTCATAAACGTTCAACAGGGCAAAAAAAGGTTAGATATCTTAGGAGTAGAAGGAGAAATTATTCCTCACAAACCAATATTACATATGCAAATTTAACTTTCAATAGTCAAGACAGAAACAAAAAGCTTGCGTTCGCAACTCGATGAGCGAGTTAGAAACCGCTCGGTTAAGCAAGCCTTTAAAAAAGTAGCTAACACCGCCGGCTAAACTTATGCTTTACACATAGACAAATACTAAGACAGGCGGTAAGACATTCACTGTAAAACACACAATTTCAAAATCCTTTACCATTATTTTAAGTGGTTTCTGGATCGGTCCTTCTCAAGGACAGCGCAGCATAGTGGGTTACACGGGTTAATGGCGGCGCGCAGCAAAATCTGCAGTGACCTCTTTGTCCACGATCATGTGGTTAATGTGATATTCTTTGATGGAAAAAAAACTATTTAGGTTAAATTATTGCTTTTTAGGTCGATTCAGGGCGAATGTGTTTTACACGGGTCAACCGAAAATAAATCATGCCTGAAAAAAAAACACGATTTTTAAAATAAGATCTATTTAAATATTTACTTTGAATTAATTACAACAGCCTTTCACACTTGTAGCGTCAGTAAGAACATCATATGCCTTTCTGAGACAATTTATTATTCATCAGTCCTGTACTTTGACTGGATTGCTGTCTCTTGTTTGATGGCACAGTTCATGCTTTTACGCAAGTGAGGCAAACCACACCCAAGAAAATCATCAATAGAGCTCATTTGACCTTTGCAGAGGATGGACTATTGAGAGCAAATGACATGGCATGTTTGCCTGTTGAAGGTCTCTCTGTTAGCTGCACAGCCATCATCAGTACAAGTGAACACCGTTCACACGAGAAATCACACACCTGACTGTGTGTGTGTGCGTGACCTGTGTGCATAAGGTGTGAGGTGTGTGAGGGTGGTGCATATCTATCGTGCATGAGTCTGCTTGAATGGATCTTTGTCTGTGTAATCCCTTCATCAGAACAAGTCATGTTATCAACGTGTGTGTCACATGTGTGTGGTGTGTGTGTGTGTGTGTGTGTGGTGTCTATGTGCGTGTGTGTGTGTGTGTGTGTGTGTGTGGAGGTGACAGGCAGGGTAATTGAAAAAGTAAGAGAACTCTACTCAAAAAACTTGGAAGAAACAAGAAGATAATTACAGACAATTCCAGTAATTGTATTTCATTACATTTTTTTTTAAATGTGACAAAAAGTTTTAGCCAGAATGTGCAATTAATAGTCCATGCAGGCAAAGAATTGGCTGTTTCTCAGGGGAAGAAGTATTAAACGCTAAACATTGTTCACAGTTTGAGACGTATTCAGTGAGTTGGTTTTAAAAGTAATTTAGAAGAAGCCGATCCATGAAGCAACGCCCAAGAGTGCCACATCATTCAACAATTTGCAAACTGAATCCATTTTGGTAATCAAAATCTAACAAATGTATAGCACGAAGTCAGAGAGTTAACAACAGAGGAACTTCACCTGAAGATAACTTTAACTCACGTTGAGGAGGATTTATAACAATTTATAATCCTTATAAGAAAAGAAGATAGGTTTTATATATATAATCTGAACAAATTGCCACCTACCTGTGTTTTTGGTAATTATAAAGCTTTCAGTTCAACAAAACTCCTGACTTGCGAGGTTTTTTAACAAAGTCCTTGTGTTTACCCCAGTTCTCAGCGAGAAGTTCAGTGCCAGGGGATTTGACTATGCCATCATATACCCAAGGCCAACACTCCCACTGGGGATCAAATATTGTGTTACTCTGCGGAAAGCAAGACGACCCGCAAGGTGACTCCAGAAGATTTTCAGCACCTTTCATAAAGGTAAATGTAGTTTTTTCATTCATGGACAGTTCACATCATCTTCTGCTTGTTGGCTTTATTGTTCCTTAAAGGGCTCAGAGATTATAAATGATGTTTTTTTAGTTACATGGTGACTTGGGTTGATACAAACAACCACCTATGACCACCCATTTCACAAACACACACATGCACGCACACACTGTAACCCACATTAACACATAATTACTGATTTAAAGTGAGGACTTCTTAATCGGACGAATGCAAAAAAAAAAAATACAATCCTTATTTCAATACAACAGAATGTCTGCTTTTAAATTATATAATTGCTGATTTGTAAATGTGAAATAATTCTAGTTTTAGAAAATTGGTACTGATGCGGTTTTGGATTTTCATTCATTCTCAAATTGGTACCGGCTCCACACCAGAAAAAAGAGCATGACAACACGCAGTCCTACAAAGTTTGCATTCATTTTTGATATCAACTGTCTGATCCATGGACACACAACAGCTTGCCAGGAACTACAACCGGGAATAGTTCAGAAAAAACACATTCACAAGATTCAGAGTACGTTTCAGGTTTCAGTTCCAGGATACCAACCGCACTGCTCCTGATATGGGATGGTTTTAAATACAGAAGGCTACAATTCACTATGTGTGATTCAGCTGAGATGCCAAATCAGGCCAAGGGGCGTAAAGTGGAGGCCACCACCTGCGCCCTTAGCTCAAACCGCCAGCTTCAAACTCTCTTATTTTTGATCTCAGATACACTATAGTCAGTCATTTTGGCGAGAATTGTGCGCTGTTTCAGTATGTTTAAAATCGTAAAAGAATGTCAGGAAATCAATAACGCATCTCAAACACTCAACGTGTACACTAAAATAAATACTCAACACATGTTAACAAATGGTTGGAACTGTTTGTAGGGGATTTGCAACATCCCCATGGCTCTTGCCTCATTCACGAAACATTATAATAATAATATGCTGTTATTGTTCTCTAATACTTTTTTCATTGGTTTTATTTCCGGAGAATCCATTTCCAAAGGAGAAAGAATTTGACACGTGTGCTGTTGTTGGGAACTCAGGGATTCTGACAAACAGCAGCTGGTGGAGAGATGACTCGAGTCCGGACTCAGGTTTTGTTATCAGGTGAGAAAGCGTCAAGATCAGGGGACTGAAAGGCTGATGGCGACATCAATCTACAGACATTAAACTTTAAAGAATAAAAAAGACACAATTAATTCCCAATAATAATGTCTGAGTCGTCCGTTATGCTTTTCAGGTGCAACCTACCTTCTTTGGGAAAAGGCTATGAGAAACATGTGGGCACCAAGACTGACATTGTGACATTAAATCCGAGCATCCTCGTTAGAAAGTGAGCAAGAAAATGAGTCTCACTGTACCATAACGTTTATTTTAGTTTTGTTGCCAAACATGCTTTCTATTTTCAGGTATGGATCCTTAGACGGGTCTAGACGTCCATTTGTGGAGAGTCTACATATCTACGGCAAGTCCTTGCTGCTTCTACCTGCCTTTGCCTTTTCATTTTGTACTCCTTTGAGCCTGAAGGCTGCATACAGCATTAGGGACCTTGAAAGTCCAATTAGGCCCACCTACTTCAACCCTGAGTACCTACGGAGACTGAGCAACTTCTGGCGCTCCAGAGGCCTACACAGAGTCCTAAACAAAGGCATACTCAGCACCGGCTTACTGATGGTTAACATAGCGCTGGAAAACTGTGCCAACGTGCATCTGTACGGTTTCTGGCCCTTCAGTATTCATCCATTTCAGTATTCATCCGTGAAAAACCACTATTTCGATAATGAAACAGCTAACTGGGGAACGCATTCCATGCCCGCTGAGTTTAACCTGTTGTTGCAGCTGCACAGTCAAGGTGTGCTCAGGCTTCACCTGGGGAACTGTCGACCAGGTAAAAATTAGTTCCCAGGTCCAGAGACAGATGAGACTGGGCATCTGAAGAATTGGGACATTTCCTGGTGGACTGAGGGTTAATCTCAGAATTTTGTCTGGGTTCTTATGCCCCTTTCACACCAACGCGTTCCCAGGGCCGGATCGGAGCTTGAGCCTGATAAGCACAGTTTTTCCTGTTCACACCGCAGCGGAGCCGGCTCTTTTTTTACCCAAAAACCGGTTCTTACCATGTGTTACGGAGTTAAAAATGTGTATACATAATTATTAGTTATAAATTACAATTTACAATAGGTTGTGAATTTTATTTCTATGAGATTGTTTCCTTTTAATATTTTTGAGTATTGTTTCTAGTGGGAACACTTTCCCGTTGCACATCGTTTTCTACTTCCTGTATGTCATTTCCGCTTTCCCCTCACATTGAAGTGAGCACTGCTGAGGGTAAGCTGTGCTAGGAATTGTGTTATAGTTCATTACAATTTTGTGTGGTAAACCGGCTATTTAAGTTTATGAAAGTGATGTATGTTGTTAAGTGTCAATTTGGGTATATTATTAACCCGTTTTTGTTAAGTTTCCACCGTAAGAAATTGTATTTTTGAGTGATATCTACGGTGTGGTTTTGGCGGGAAATAGACGCGATCTGCGTCATTTTCTTTGTTTACATGTCAACACTTTCCGACTTTTCTTTATTTTCTTTTGTAAAGATGTGCAACGCGGATGCAAAGAGAATATTATATTTGTTCTCAGGTATGTTTGTATTTTGTATGATTACTTAAAAATAAGATTTTCTTGGTAATTTAATAATTTCTCAATGTATAAATAAATACTAGAAGACATTGAAGTGAGCACCGCTGAGGATGTGCAACGCGGATGCAAAGAGAATATTATTTTTGTTCTCAGAATAAACGCCAGAAAAGACACCCAGATGCTTCGCTGTCGTTTCCTGATCGATAACAGGTCGCTTACGGTTGTGACCCGTTACACTTGTTTCGCACACGCTGGTTCACTCGCTGACGGATACAACTAGCTAACTTTAAGATTGTTTTCACAAACGACAACTTTTTGTAACAATCTGCAAATCTTGTGCTGCTTCATTCTGTATTGGAATTGGACGTAAACTGTATCTCTATCACTGTTTGACAGATACAACTCCACAACTAGCTAACTTAATGGTTGAACAAGTGACGGATTGACTGACTGACGGATTGATTGCTTTACCAACTTGTCTGCTGGTTGACTTGCTCCCTTGCATGCCCAGAAAATCAATTTCAAGGAGAGCAGCAGTTGCTCCGGTAAAGGCTGAGCCCAATTGGCAGAGGGAACACTAATTACCATCAGGAGCCGCCGATACATGTTTTGGTTTGGACGTGTGGGTTTCTCTTCTTGCCCTGAATGCTAATTACGTTCCTGTGTGGGAGCGGACCCTCTCCTCGGCCTACAGATGAGACTGTGGCCGGCTCTGTGTTTGTTCCAACATCACGAGCCTCAGAGAGCTCAGGGATGAAAGACAGATAGGGCGAAGTAATGGAGCTGTTGACTTTGTTGTAATTAAAGAAGACAATGAGTGAAGTTGTTAACCAGGCAGATGAAAGTCTCCCGCTCCTTCCTTTGTGTACGGATAGCAATGCTGTAGGCTACGCACTAAGCTGGTGAGAGTATAAGTCCTCTTACTGTATTAAACAGGATCCCTGATGCTGGGAGTTTTATTAGGATTATACTCGTCTTTGAAAAAAGATCAACGCTGTTTTCTAAAGAATATGAGAGTTAATTTTCTCAGCTTTTTCACATTATTAATTCTCAGTCCTCTGTCAAATGTCCTTGTTTTGGTTTATAGCTTGTTTAGTTGTCACCATGTTTCTAGTCAATATAAAAGGCTGATGTTGGTATTTTTTTATAGCCTACAATGTAAGATTGCCTTCTCATTTTGTTTTTGATTTTGAGAGGTTTTGTTGGCTAAAAGCTTATCTTGGTCAAAGATAATATAATTATATTTAACAAGATGAGAAATAACTATTCTTGTTGTTGTCAATGTGAGCCTTTCCATGTTATTTAGTCTCTGTCAAATGCCCTTGCTTTGTTTGTTTTTTTAGCTTCTTTAGTTGTGATCATGTTTTTTAGTCAGATAATATAAATGGAAATGTTGATATTTTGTATAAAATGTAATATTGCCTGGTTTATTTCACATCTTGTTTTTTGATTTTGAGTCAAGTTGGCTAAAAGTCTTGACATTTTAGGGTTACGGCCCGTCCACACAGCGGCGTGCGTTGAAAGCTTCACCATTCACTTTGAATGGTCACTTTTCGCCGAACTGCATTGTGGGAAGCGAAGCGGAGCTTTGCTGGCGTGGCTCGCTGCAAAAGTTGAGCAATGTTCAACTTTTGAAGCCTCGGCAGAAGCGTCAGCCAATCGAATCATATGCCAGTACAAGCTCTAGCCAATCAAACCGCTGCTTGTGTGTCAGGGGCGGGAGATTCATGTGATTGGTTGTTGGTCGAGTTTCAGACACGCCCACCTGCAAGCTTCAACTCACGTCGCTGTGTGGACGGGCCGTTACTGTGGTCAAAGATAATGTAACTATATTTAACATTTAGTCAATCTATTTTAACCTGTTGTCACTATTAACTGAATCTGTTAATCTTACTGCTGCATTGAAAAGGTAATATGACCAATTATCAAATGTCTTCCCCTCTTTTTTGTCAACAAAAATAAAGGGACATTTTGAATATGTAGAAAAGTAGATTTAAAGTATTTAAAGCACATTTAACTCTACTATATTTTCTTTAGAAATATTGCATGTTCATTTTTAAATGCTTTTGGTATTTGTTTTGCGAGAATAAATCAACTTTGGATCTCCTAAACCTAAATATTTCAATCTCTTGAAAATCCTCCTCTAAATGTATCAATGCTTTCTATCTGAAAAGCAAAATGTGCTGTTTACTCATTTGACATTGTTCTTTGGTCTGTGATCAATGCATAATAGCGTAGTGACTAACTGTCGGCCATTTGCATGGTGTCCTACCATCTCAGAGGATGTGGGCCTGCAGCCTAGAGGGATAAGTATAATTAGAGAAAAGGAGTGTGATGATTATGCATTTCAGCTCTTTCCACCTAGATGTGCGCTGAGGGTTACATCTGTCTCCCACCCCTCTGTAATTGATGCCTCTGCCCTTTGCAGTGCTGAACCGGAGCCTAAACTTTACTTCATGGTGTACGTTCCAGTCGACGGACCCTGCTCTCTGCGGGGCTGAACTTTGAAGGCATTAGTTATGGTATTGGGGCTTTTTAAGGATACTGCTGGTGACATTCTGTAGTTTTCTCTTGACTCAACAAAATCCCATGAAGAGAAAATGAATTGATGCCTCTAAGACGTCTTTACCTGAGAAGACAAACCCCAATTCAACACCACATTACAATTCAACATTATTTATTTGAAATATGTATTGGAAGCAAATAATGGTTAAACAACAAAATAAATCTTTAAATTAAATGATGTCATTTTCATCAACAACCTAATTCCTTTTCCAATTTTGTTTTGGTTTGGGTCGCGGACCCTTTTCAAGCGGGTCCCAGATGAGTGAAGAAAAAAATAAATTCGTTTATTTTTTTTTTTTTGGGGAAAAAAAGTGAAACTTTTATTTTGAAGGCCCGATGTTCTAACGCTGTGCATGCAGTAGGCGTTGGACTGGAAGTACCGGAGACCAGTAGTCACGTAGTGATCATCTTCTCAATAAAACATCTTTGCTGATGTTTTTTCGAGTCTTCTGGCCAATCAGAATCAAGATTGTTGCCGGAAGGAAGAATAACTTTGCGGTAGAACTATTCTTTATTCATCCATGGGTACAACTTCAGATAAAAATGAACACATAATGAAATATGACCCCCAGTTTGATGATTGACAGGTCTCAGAACAATGGGAGCTATCTACCCTCACCCACAATTTAAAGTAATTCACACAGACTCTCTCCTCTTTACTCTTCTCTCTGAGTGGAGCAGCAAGATGTGAAAAACAAAACAAAGTCAAAAACAAACAAAGGCATAAAATATTATTAATATGTCGGGTAGCAATAGATTTATTTATTTTCTTCTCAGAGTGTACCAGAATGCGTAGTTTATATGTTAGTATTTCTAAAAATCTCCTGGGGGAGAATCCCCCCAGACCCCCTGCTGGGGTTGGGTTTTCAGCATGTGGGCCTTTTTATGTGATACAGTTCAGCTTTGATTCCATCATCTCATTAAACCTTATTTAAAAGCATACTCTAGTTCTGTGAAGGGATATAATGGATATATGCACTGTACTTCACTTTATGTATATGTATGCTGAAAAGCGTATATATTACAGCACGATTCTTTGTTGAATAGATTTGAGTGGTTCAAAATGTTGGGTCCCGATTTATTAACAAAGTAAAAAGTGGGTCCTGAGGCCTGACCAGAGAACCACTGCTCTAGGCTGTATTCAATTATGCATTTGTGTTATTGAGCTTTCCCTTTGCACAGTGGACACACGCCTCCCCGGCTGGCTCTAAATGTGCCTCATTAATGGCTGCTTGAAGTTTGTCTTGATTAAAAAATGTGCTTCCCTAGCAGAAAAACACATATTATTGCACATATATTAGTATTTTATACTTGCAAATCCATCGATGAAGAGGTAGGATGCATCGATATTGTGAGAAATAAGGAGCAACACATGGCAGAATAGTCCGTTTGAATCAGATTCAGAAAGTCTTTATTGTCCATATAATCGTGCATATCAACGTTTTTGCAGGTTTTCCTAATTTCTCAACAACACATAGATAAAAGCAGTGTTGATAACAGCATTAGCAGCAAAGCTAATTCTGTATAGAAGCCAGTAGTTACATGGCAAGATATAAAATGTACATAATTGGATAGTTATAAAAATATCAATTAATCTTTATATCAGGCGGTCTTTGTCCAAGTGTGTGTGTGTGTGTGTGTGTGTGTGTGTGTGTGTGTGTGTGTGTGTGTGTGTGTGTGTGTGTGTGTGTGTGTGTGTGTGTGTGTGTGTGTGTACACATATTATAAAGTCTTGGTCAGGCAGAGAGGGAGCCGCCATCTTAATAATGAATACAAACTTATATTTCTCTAAATATCTNCAGCAAAGCTAATTCTGTATAGAAGCCAGTAGTTACATTTACGAAAAATGTAAATGGAAAGATATAAAATGTACATAATTGGATAGTTATAAAAATATCAATTAATCTTTATATCAGGCGGTCTTTGTGTGTGTGTGTGTGTGTGTGTGTGTGTGTGTGTGTGTGTGTGTGTGTGTGTGTGTGTGTGTGTGTGTGTGTGTGTGTGTGTGTGT